ACCACCCCGGGCCACCACGGCGGCAACCACCACAACAATGCCGGCGGTGCCATGACCCCCGGCCACCACCGTGGCGGCCACCATGCTCCGACTGAGGCACCCAACGTCCCTACCAGCGAGCCCACCATGCCGACCGAGGCGCCTGTGCCTCCAACTGAGGCCCCCTCGGAGCCCGTCGACGTGCCGGGCACCCTGGCCCGGGTGTGGTCGGCCCTGGCCCAGGACAGCCTGCGCGCCACCGACGCCACCACCGGCCGCCACCCGATCAGCCACCTGGCCGGGCTTGGCGACCAGCTGGCTGGGCTGCTTGAGCGTCAGCTGAAGGCCGAGGATGCCGCCACCCCCGGGATCATGGGCCAGGAGGAGCAGGAACAGCTCCAACTCCTGTCCATGCGCGTGCTGCTGCTTTCGTCCAATGGAGGCTCCGGCACCGGGGCCGGCGGCGTGCCGATTGCCGCCGGCCGGTCTACCGAGCCGGCTCTCGAGCGGGCCCTCATCGAGACCCTCGCTCGGAAGCGCGCTGCCCGGGCCCTTGCCCAGGCCCCCGGGTCGATGCGCGGCCCGATGCCCCCGCCGCAAAGCAAGCTCCCGCCCGGAGTCAAGCTCCCCCCGGGCGTCAAGATCCCCAGCCAGCTGCCCAAGGACTTCCCCAAGGAGCTGCCGGAGGAAATGCCCACCTGGCCCCCGGGCCGGCCCAAGCCCACCATGCCGGAGGAGATGCCCACCTGGCCCCCGGGCCGGCCCAAGCCCACCATGCCCCCGGGGGTCAAGGTCCCGGATTGGGTCCATGATCTGCCGGTCCCCTCGGGCTGGCCGAAGCCCGGCGCCGCCGGGGCCCCGGACTACACCGACCCCAATGTGCCCTTCCCCATGCCCACCTGGGGAGATGGTGATGGTGATGACGGCCTGCATGCCACCGCCACGGCCGAGGAGTGCCCGGCCCCGGAGGTCGGCACCCTGGCCGACCAGATGCTGGCCAGCCGGGCCGCTGCCTTCACTTTCATGAACCAGGCCGTGGATTATGTCATGGCCCACCGCCTGCCCTGGATGTACCAGGAGACCCAGCAAACGGCCGACCATTTGCGCCAAGATGGCCTCGTGCTCGGGAAGTTCCTGTGCCAGCTCTTCCCGCCGCTGCCGACCCTGCCGCCGCTGCCGACCCTGCCGACCCTCCGGCCGCGCATTGGCCCGACCGAGCCGCCGACCCCGCCGCCCCGCTTCCGGCCCTTCCAGCCGACCCCGGCCCCGACGCAGCCGCCCCGGCCGCGCTTCGGCCCCGGCTCCCGCTGGCCCACCACCAACCAGGACGCACCGGAGGCCACCACGGCCGATGACCAGCAGCCCGGCCTGGATCCGCGCCAGCTGGCCCGGCCGATGCTGCGTGCCATCCGCCAGCGCGTCGGCCAGGGTGGCCTGACCGCCACCGAGATCGACGCCCTGACCCTGGTGGCCGAGACGGCCGCCCGGGTGGGCGAGCAGCGTGTCGCCCGCATGGCTCGCATGGCCCTGGACTATGCCCTGGTCGAGCGCATGGCCGGCGGCCGGTTCATGTCGGTCGCCGACCCGGCCCCGGGTGATGCGGTGGCCTGGCTGGTGGGCGGGGCGGCCACCGTGGCCGATTGCGGTGCCTCCTCCGTCGGCGCCGGCACCCATGCCCCGGGCGAGACGGCCTCCTGCCTGCTGGATGTGGATGCGGTGCGCGTGGGCTCCGACTCGCTGGCCATCGCCCTGGCCCAGCGGGCCGGCGTCTACTGCCCCTCCAGCGACGTGCTGGCGGCCATCGCGGCCAGCGCTCGCAGCACCGGGGCCTCGGTGGTCTTCGCGTCGTCCCGGCGCCAGGACACCAACCCCAGCGGCGTGTCGGTCCTGGACCCGGCCGCCGTCGGGCCAGCCACCTCGGCCGCGGCCATCTTCCTGCCGCAGAGCTACGCCATCGATGCCTATGTCCTGGGCAATGAGAATGCCGCGGCCGAGGTCGTGGTGGCCGGCGACTCGGTCCAGTCGTTCGCCCAGCTGCTGGACTCGGCCGCCGCCGTGGATGGCGCCCTGCGTCGACTGGACCACGATGTGTGGGCCCAGAAGGCCGACAATGAGCAGTATGCCGCCATGCAAGCCATGCTGACGGTGGCTGGCTCCGGCAACACCGGGGCCGGCAATGCCCAAGCTGTGCCGATCTCCCCGGCTGCGCGGTTCCTCTCCGAGCAGATGAAGGGCCTGCGCCTGGTGTCGGAAAACCTGTCGGCCCTGGTGCGCCTCGGGGCGCAGCGCCTGCAGCGCGTCGGCCAGGGGGCCGAGGAGGCGGCCTGCCCGCCGTCGCCGCCCCCGGCATCGGCCAAGGCCGGAGCCAACAACCCCGGCAACAAGGACACCGCCCCGCCGCCGAGCGCCGGGCGCCTGCTGGACAGCGGCAGCGTCAGCACCTTCCGTGCGGACAGCGTGCGCATCCAATCCCCCGCCTACGAGGCATCCCAGCGGGTGCCGGTGCTGGCCGGGGTCCTGGTGGCCGCGCAGTTGGGCGACCGTGCGCGTGGCTTCGCCGACGTGGCCCTCCTGCAGCAGGTGGCCTCGGCCCAGCAGGCCGCCTGCCCCGGCAACAAGGGTGGCAATGGCGGGGGCGACCCTGACAATGGTGCCACCGACCCGCCGGCCGCTCGGACCCTCATCGAGCAGCAGGGCCGCGTGGTGCGCGTCCTGACCGGCGTCGATGCCGACACCCTGGCCGAGGGAGTCCTGGCCGGGGCGGACGTGGCTTCCGCCGCTCGCGCGGGGGAGGCCGCCGACCGGGTGCATGTCCTCCCCTCGATGGAGGGCCTGCTCCGGAGCCTGGTCGAGGGTGCGGCCGAAACCCTGCCCGGGAGCACCGCCTCCGCGGCCGCCACCAAGAAGCAGGCCACCACCAAGGACATGGTCGATGAGACCCTGGCCGAGCTGAATGCCTGCCCGGGCCACGGTGGCGGAGACACGCCGCCGCCCTCGCCGCCGCCGGCCAAGCTGCTCCTGCACTTGAACACGGCCGATCTGGACGAGTTCACCATCGACCACTCGTCGGTGGCCGTGCTCAATGGCTGGGCCCTGGTGCGCAAGGGCGACGGTTACCTGGCCATCTTTGCCGATGGCGGCCTCGTCCGCAATGAGGATGGCCTGTTCGAAGCGGCCAACGGCGAGGACAGCAGCCTGCAGACGTGGCTCATCGTGGCCGGGTCGCGCGTGCTGGATGGCAGCTATGCGGCCTTCACCGATCGGGTGGCCAGCCTGGCGGCCGAGAGTGCGGCCGCCGGGGCTCGCGCCGCGGCCACCCGCCGCACCGACCTGCCCAACCTGCCGGCCCTGCGGATCTCCCGCCAGCAGACCGAGCAGACCAAGTGCCTGCGTGACAACAAGTGCATCTCGGTGCTCGAGCCGCTTGCGGCCCTGCTCCGGTGCACGGTGCCCATTCCCCTGGTCAACCCGATGCCCCCGTGCCCGATGCGCCTGAATGTCACCATGCTCGAGGAGTGCATCATCAATTGCCAGAGCCGCTTCGAGCGTTTGGCCATGCTGGACTTCGCCTGCCGGGCCAACTGCTTCCGCATTTCGACCATCGATGAGGCGGTCGTGCGCGTCAGTGACCTGGAGCGCATGGCCGAGGAGCGCCAAATGGAGATGGACCGCTTCCTGGCCGGCGAGTCGACCGGGTCGGCGCTGAGCCAGACCGAGGCAGATCGCGCCCGGGCTGTCGGCCGTGTGTACCAGCATCTGGTGGACGCCTTCGGCAGTGGGGCCAACGCGAATGCGTCGGCCGCGCTCGGTGTCGGGTCCGGCCGTGTCCGTGTCAGCTCCAATGTTGGTCGTGCGGCCGCCGGCACGCGGAAGGCCTCTTCCGCCGGGGCTGCTGCGGGTGCCTCGGCCACGGCGGCCGGCCTCGACCAGGCCGTCGAGGCCATGTTCGAGTGCCCCGCGTCCAAGCCGACCGACGCGCCTCCTCCCCCGGCGGCCAAGACCATCGGCCAGCGTGGCGCCGCCGCCGCCGCCGCGACCGATACCATTGCTGACCAGGGCAACTTCGTGACGCGCTCCTGGCGCTCGATCCTCAAGAGCACCCTCGGCACCACCGACCAGCAGCAGCAGCAGCAGCAGCAGCAGCAGCAGCAGCAGCAGCAGGCCCAGCAGCAGCGCCAGGGTGCCCCTGTGGCGCCGCTGTCGGAGGGCGGGCGCCTGGTCCTGGACTTTGGTCGTGTCTAAAAGGCAAGCAGAGATGCCCTTAGGGGGGGGGATGTACGTAGGTGATGCCGCCTCGGGTGTCAACGTATGAACGAGCAAATGTGCACGCCCATGCGCAAGCATGTGCATGCTCCTATTCTCCGTGTCCAGCGGCCGGCCGGCCGGCAGGCGGGGAAGCAGGTTGGCTACCACATGCCCGCCGGCTCTCGGCCCCCGGGGCGCCCCTCCCCGGTGCACCGGCCGCGCCTTGTTTTAGCTTCGTTTTCTTTTCCTCGAATTTCTTTCCCGTTCCATTGTTTTTCTCCCTCTTTTGCGCCCTGCGTGCATACCTCCGGTGTGGTGTGGAGGGCATGTGCGCGCGTGGGTGCCTGTGTGTCGTTCCTCTCGAAAGTCCGAGAGCCCGAATAAACAGCTTAGTTACCGAGCAGATAGTCGCCCATAATGCCAGCGAAAGGGGAGGGGGAGGGGGAGGGGGCGCCAGATGTGGTGCTCCAGCCAGGAAGAGGGGGCACGGGTGGGGGGTGGCGGAAAGGGCACATCAAGGGCGACGACCCACGGGAGGAGATCGCGGAAAGGGGGAGGGAGGGGGAATAAAGAGGGAAAGAAAGCACGATACATACCCCTCGTCGAAGAAAAGGGTAGCCTCGAGCGTGGGCGGCCTTCAAGAGGAGGGGCATGCTCTCCGGACCTTCGCCTCGCGCCCGGCAGGCCAGGGTGCGCAGGATTAGGACCGGGTTGCGGCACAGCCCGCATCGGCGACCAAGAGCCAACTCTGCAGGTGTGTGATGGGCCGCTCATGTGAGAATGTCACATGAACATCCCAATCGGCGCGCCCCTGGCTCCTTGCGCCGAAGAGTGTGTGTGTGTGTTGTGTCTTGAATGTGCATATTGTGCACACAACGACTTTGAAGACGACCGTCCTCCTGGGGGGCAGGCTCTTTGGAGCGCGGGCCCCGAATGCCGCGAAAGCCGCGGGCGTGGACGCACACCCATCAAGCTCGGAGACCTGTGTCTGGTGTATTGAAATGGTAGGCGGGGGGGGGGGGGGGGGGGCCCTTCCCCCTGGAGGTGGGGGCGGGGGGGTGTCGGCCGCTACCCGGGGCATAAAACAACATCAAAAGGTTTGCCCCGAACCCGGAGAGAGAGAGAGAGAGAGCAGCCAGGCGAGTGGGCGTCCGACGGTCGGGCTTGCTTTTTTTTTTTTCGGCGCAGGGCCGCACCGCGAATCTGCCCACTCTTGTGGAGTGGTGTCTTCTCTCGGAGGAGGAGACGGGCCATTTTGGCAACCTTGACAGTGGCGGTCCGAGCGGACCGGAAACCAAGCCCTCTCCCCCCCCCCCCCCCTCCCTCCCGTTCTGCCTCGTTCTCCTCCCCGGCTGCCTTCACTGCTCTCTTTTCTTCCGCCGCCCGCCCTTCCCTCTCCCACTTCGCCCCCCTGCCGCCATGGGGAACTCCATCTCCATCAGCCATGCCCGGGGGCCGGCTTTTGACAAGTCCGAGTTCCGGCGTCTCTTCCTTGCGGAGAATGCCACCGTGCTCACGGACAACCGGTATGTCGCTGCTGGGGCTTCCCGCCCCTCCTCCCCCTGGCCGTCCATCCTCGCCCTCTTGTTTCAGGTCGGCTGACTCTCCTCCCCCCCCCCCTCCTCCCCCCTGCCGCCACTCTGTCAAGGCTCCTCCTCGCCATTGTCTACCCCAATTATCGGCCCCTATTGGAGTTGGCCGGCGAGCCTGGCCCCCCGGCCGAGGACCTGCAATTGCTGGCCAATGCCGGGCTCGCGGCCGATGTGCCTCTTTACCGGCGCCACCTGCAGGCCCTGCAGGGGCTGCGCCAGCAGTCCAGCCACATCAATCAGCCGGTGGTGGTGAAGTTCTTCGCCAAGCAGCGCCTCGTGTCGCTGGCGGAATATGTGCCCACCATCGCGCGCTTTCGCCAGACCATGACCCTGCTGTGCTCGGTGTCGTCGGCGAACCCTGCCGCCGGGTCGCCCTGCCTGCTGCCCACCAGCCTGGTGGACTTGGACAGCCAGCTGACGCAGGCCCTGCTGGAGCATGAGCTCGCCTTGCCGGTGAGTACGCCCCTGGACCTGGTGCTCCTTGCCTCGGGGGTGGGGCTTGCCCCCGCGGCAACGGCAGCCACTGCCATGGGCTCGAGCGCTCCCCTGTCCTCTTCCTCTTCCTCCTCGACAGCCGGGGCTGGGGCTGTCTTTTCCGGGGGCACCCTCGGTCGATCGTCCAATGTGTCCATGAGCGATCTGCCGCCGGCGGCGCTCCTGGCCGGGTCCGGTGGCCCGTCCACCGCCGGGGCGCAGCGTCTATCGGTGGGCAGCGCCCAGGCGGCGCACTCGGCCCTGTCTGTCGGGTCAGTTGAATGGCCAGTCGGGCCGGATGGAACGCCCCTGCCGATGGCCGGCGACCTGACGGACCTCAACCCCGGGGAGCGCACCCGGTCGATGACCTTGCTGCCGGTGCCGAGTGCCCCGGCCTCCGGGGCTGGGCTGACGGTCGGCGACTCACAGGACCCACTTGGCGGCCTGCTTCTCGGCTTCCGGCCCTTTACCCATACGAACTTGCGCGAGCGCATCGACTCGCAGCCTGTCTTGGAGCCCATCGAGAAGCTTTATATCTCCTTCCAAATGATCTCCCTCCTGCGGGACAGGTGTGTCCTGGCCATGTGGGCGAGGGGCCTGCTCCTTCCCCTTTGTCCTCCTTCCCTCCCTCCGCCCCTCTCCCTCTGTCTTTCTCTGGTGTGTCCCCTGACCGGCTTTCTTCCCCATCATTCTTCCCTCTCTCCCCCTCCGCTTCTGCCTTGCTCGCGAGCCAGCTCCACGCTCAAGGTCATCCACGGTGACATCAAGCTGCAGAATATCTTGCTCACTTCGTGGGATCTGGTCATCCTGTCGGATTTCTCGGCATCCTATAAGGTTCCTCCTCCGGCTTCTGCTTCGCGCCCGTTCCCGTCCATACCCCCTTCCTCACTGGTCAAGCTTTCGCTCTTACTCTTTCCCTCCCCCCCCCCCATCCCCTTCTTCTTTGGACGCCCTCGCGTAGCCCTTCTTCCTCCCGGAGGACAACCCCAGCGACTATCTGTTCTTCTTCCAGAGCCAGGAACTGGACGTATGCAACATCGCCCCCGAGCGATTCCTCTCTCGCAAGATCTATGACAGCCTGCTGCGTCCCCATGCCAGCCCCTTCGAAACCATCAGCGCCGTCAATCCCGACCTGGCAGCCAACCCCCACGCGGTGGATATCTTCAGCATTGGCTGCGTCATCGCCCAGCTTTGGCTGGATGGTCGGCCGCTCTTTACCCTGCGCCAGATGCTGGATTATCGCATGGGCGTCTATTCGCCGGATCACCTTCTTGCGGAGTGCGTTACAAGGCGACGGCCCTCTCCTCCGCTCCTCTGCTCCTCCGCTCCTCCGCTCCTC